CTGGTGCTGGTGCTGGTGCTGGTGGTGTTGGTGTTGGTGTTGGTGTTGGTATTGGTGTTGGTGTTGGTGTTGGTGTTGGTGTTGGTGTTGGTGTTGGTGTTGGTGTTGGTGTTGGTGTTGTTGGTGGTGGTGGTTGTGGTTGCGGTTGTGGTTGTTGTTTTTTTGTTGTTGGTTGTTGTTGTTGTTGTTGTTGTTGTTGTTGTTGTTGTTGTTGTTGGTTGTTGTTGTTGCTGCTGCTGCTGCTGCTGCTGCTGCTGCTGCTGCTGCTGCTGCTGCTGCTGCTGCTCTTGCTCTTGCTCCTACTGGTCCTACTGGTCCTACTGGTCCTGTTGCTGTTGCTGTTGTTCTTGGTGGCGGTGCTGGTGCTGCTGCCGCTGTGTTGTCTCTATTGTAAGAGTTGTAATGCCGAGTTCAATTAACACGTCTGGAGTCTGGAGTTTGCTGTTCATGGTCCCTCCTCGTGTTTGTCATGTCTTCCTTATTGCCTCATGCATGTGTGCATCGGCCCGCACACACAACCCTAGTTTCAGTATGGATCCACATCCATCATATATTACAACGCCTGCCCGAAAGAAAGACAGCTACTACCTATATTGTGACACTCGGACTTAGAAGCCCCATTATAACATATTTTGGTAGTTATAGACCCCGATAGTACATGATCAAATGTTATAGCACATAGACGGATATTGAGCTATGGTACATTTCTAGCATGCTATCGTGCAATATAGTTCATTACGGTATGTGCCCAGGAGAAGATGCGATCTTGTCCCGGCCGGAGTGAGGACAGCAAGTGCGGTTTAGAGTTTAGGGTTCTTCCGGGCGTGTGTAGAAAGCATGTCGAGGTGTGGCTTCAACGGCCCATTGTTTCAAAATGTTGAAGATTGTAGTAGATTGTGGTGGTTCAGCGGCTCTATACAAGTTCCGGTGTGCTTGCAGGGTGCCTCCCTTTCCCGAGGAGGAAATCTGCGAGGCGCTTCGGAAGCCGGTCAAAGTGCGCGTGGATTCGAGATGCACGTCCGCAGTAACGCCATGCTCTGTGCACCCCACTACTACGCACTACATTGCAACACATCGGCCTTCATACCCGTGCTCATGTCAACGTAAAGTCAGATGGCACTTTAGGTGGCTGTGCTGAGAGTTGAACTGACCCCATGACGAGTGTTCAGCCGAACAATGGGACGGGTCTTCTTCAAGCTCGGTCCGTGGTTTGTGGGGGATGTGTCCAATCTGAATGCTGAAAGGCTGCACACGCGTGCTTCCTCCACTTAGAATAGTCTGGAACAGACCTGGCTAGCTTGCCTTGGACAACAGAGCGCTAAGGTCGCCGGCACACAGGCCTTCCCACTGCAACCATGTGGAATGCCGAAGACGACGAAGATCAGGATGGCGCATTCCGCCAAGCCGGCATGTTGGGGTTCGGAGTTCCGAGTCGCCGCTTGGCTCTTGTATCATGTATATGGCGCATGTGAGCAGAACCAGATTCTGGGACGTTATGGGACAGCAGACATCGTGCAAGATGCAGACTTGCGGTGCTGCTGCTTCTCATGTCGTATGCCCGAAGTTTACAAGATGTTTGCGTTTCGCGGTACATCGCACTTCCTATGTACTTGCAACAAAACGTACATATAGTAAGACTATCAACAGAGATCGGCAGCAGCTCGCAAGCAATCGAAGGAGTCGAACATCTCTGCCAGGCAGATGGCAGCGACGAAAGGCTGAACGCGGAACGCGAGAAAGAGAAAGGAAGATCGATCAGACTCTTGGCTCAAATGTCCCAGATATTCCCAGATCTTGCGCGTAGACCTCCCAAAATCCCTGAATAAGGGATATACCTCGGGTCATATTATTAGGGATCCTACTAGAGTTCTTGCTCTCTCTCTCTATATAAGTATAAGTATATATATATATATATATATATACATATATATATATATACATATATACAGAGATATATATATATATATATATATATAAATACACACATATTCTTTTATCGAGGGCTTAGAAATGAAGGTCCTTCACTGCTTGATGTAGGAATCTAGGCCCTTCCACAACCGGACTCCCACCCCTTGGAGTTCAAGGAAAAGGAGCGTTGCAACAGTTGATGTAAATGTACCTCAAAACCTAGGGCCCCTTCGATGTACCTCCCTCGCCTTCAGTTACATGTGTTCATTCTAAGGCGCTCCTCAGCCCGTTGAACCTAGCAATCCAGGAGGCAAAGGAAAGCAGACTCTGTTTTAAGGTCTACGTAGCGTCTAGGGTTATGCTCCATGAGGCAACAGGTGATCGCAAGAACCTGCATCAGAAGCGACGTTAAACCGCTTATAAGCCCTGAAGCCACTAACAAATCCTTATAACGCCGAAGCTCCAAACCCCAACACCCAAACCCTACTATGCGGAGCCTTGCCGGCCTTGTGCGAGTGTGAGAGTCGAAACCCTAAGACAGAAACCCTCAAACCCGAAACCGCTTAATTAACTCTGAAAAAAAGGCCGCACCGTACGAGACTTTATTGTAAGAGGCTTAAGCCCAAAGCCCTGACAACTCTGCATTAAAGGCTTCGAAGGGCCTACGACCCATCCGAGTGGTTGGATGGAAGCGTCGTCTCCGTGCGCCTTGGAAGCGTGGAAAGGGCAGTGTGGGTGGGGGGTTGGGTGGTTCGGGTGCAGTAGTTTAGGGCTTCGGGTTTAGAGTTTTCAGTTTCGGAAGTTGGAGTTTTCCCCACTTTCATAAGTTCCGGGGCTTTATAGGGTACGAGGGGTTCTTTGCGCTGTGCCTGTTCAAACCCTTGAGATCACATCCTTAGCTCTACAGCCATACCGCAACACAGTACACCCTCCAAACTTGTCCTATACTATACCCTAAACCCTAAACCCTGTTCGAATTTGTTGCAATATCGAAGTCTCTTTTAGACAACCTCGCCTGTGAGCATACTCTGCCATGCGAGAGTGAAAAAACCCTATTCTAATGATTCTGGCCCTTTTCGTACCGGCCCGGAGCAGCACGTCCAGGAAGAACTTCGGCATCTTTGTGGATGCCATCCACGCCTGGCGCCTACCCAGAGAGCTTCGAGTTTTCAGGGGCTTCAAAACCGAAATCCTAAAGATGTAAGGGCTTTTAGGGATTAGGGTTTAGGGTTTATAGAGGTTTGGAGCTTCTTGGGTGCAATTTCGAAGAAACTCCCGGGTTGAGATTCGGCAGAGGGGAAGACAAATGGGTGTTTCCGGAAATAAGGGGTACCTTATTTTGGGGTCCTTTTAGTAGGGATCCTACTATTTGGGGTGCTATATTAGGGTCCCCTATTTTCGGAAGCCCCCAAATTCAGCTGAGCACATCTCGCAAAGCTGGTAGTCACCTAGTCGGAACCCTCACTTCTTGAACCCCAATGGTCCAAACCTTACCGTTGGAGCCTGATGGCCCTAATAATTCAGAGCACTCCCTCTTTCTAGATAACCTGAGAGCGCCGCTGAGGATGTTCGGGTGATGATTCCTGCCGGTTACATTCCAGACACCCTGCTCCTCAATGGAATTCCGGACCTGGATGTTGGCAGCACCGTCCAGCCAGGGTCTCAGAAATTGCCTTCCTTTCCCTCCCGACGTCTTCCGGCTGCTGTGCTCGCATGCCGTATGCATCTCTGCCAATTATGATAGAGTTAAAGAAGTCCTTGTTGCATCAATCGAGCCCCGTCCTCCGAGCTTATGCATACTCAGTACCCTCTGCTGGCAACACACAGTCTCTCTCTCTCTCTCTCGTGATTGGTTCGACAAGCTGCACATAGCTGCACCATGACTCCACATTGTAAAGCCTTTAGAAATCAAAGGGGACCCCATGGACGACCCTAAGCCCTGAGGGTTTAGGGTTTATTTAGGGTTTGTGCCGCTCAAGGTTCCGCATCTGTGGCTACCGTGGCAAGGACCACAAAGGCCAAGACCGTTTTAGCTGTCTCTCTGGCTGCATCCAGTGGCGGGTTAGACCAGGATGTCGGGTCACATGTTTTGGGAATGGCGCACTTCTGATTTGAAGTTGATTGGTCAGCGATTTTGATTCTTGTTCACCTCTTTGTGAAGCTGTGCTGAAGAACAGCTGCCGTGCATCTTGGAAAAGGGCACTGCGCCCGCTTGCAGTGAGGCTCCATGCTTCCGCCAGCACCCCCGAAGGAGGAGATTTGCTTGCATCCGAGGGTGAACTCAGCACGGCGTCCCGATTAGAGCCATTGTATCTACTTGTGGGGTGTCATCTGAATTTGAATCTGAATCTGACCAACTTGGATGGTCCAACAGGCGCCGAACCACATGCAGATGGGTCGAAGGGCTAGCCAAGCATCTTCACCCTGCCATGCCACGTAAGTCAGTCCAGTTGCCGGGAGCTGCACGCTTTCCAGAGACTGACAGGAGGAAGAGAGGAGCACTGGCAAAGGCAAGGGCAAGATGCAGAAGGGCTCAAAAGGCGGCTCTTGCTTGCAAGAATATAATTTAACCCTACACCCCTAAACCCGAAACCCTAAAATTTAAAGTTTGACCTCGAATGCTTCCTGATTTGTGCGAGACTCCTTGCATGGGTGTGTTTGGCCCTAGCGGTTTGAATTCCCGTTGAGCATACGCACATGGCTTTGTATTTTGTATATTCGTGTTCAAGTTTGCATGCTGTCTATCTGCAATATGCACTTAGAAAGGTGCATACACGAAACAACAATAGACTTTTCACCCTGCTTCTGTACATATCTGTGCTGACACATGCACACGACGAGAAGAAACCATAAAGCATGCAAGAAGCAAGCCTTCTGTTTGTTGCAACTTGCATCGCAAAACCCTGCACCCTGGTGGGTGAGAGCCTGCACGGATGCTCTGATGGAAAGCCTTGACTGCTGGGTACCCTAAACCCACTTCCTTTTCTCAGGTGCCGACCGTGGCCGGAAAGGCACCGCAGTTGTGACCTGCTCCCAGCATATACAATACGGGCCTGAAAAACCAGGAACAGCATTTCCCCATCGTTCCTTAGTATGACTCTAGAAGAGCACTGCTCTTATGTTTAAACCCCTTATGGGGGTTTCCGAAAATAGGGGACCCTAATATAGTACCCTAAATAATAGGATCCCCATTATAAGGACCCCAAAATAAGGTACCCCTAACTTTCTGAAACTCCCTTATATGAGCACCGAACCGCGGGCAAGTTGTTTCAGGAGCAAGCGGACATGTGGAGGGACGCACTGCCAACCACGAGAGAACGACCCTTGCTAGTCCGCATTCGGGGTGTTGGGGATTAGGGTTTAGGCTGTTGGGGATAAGATATCTCCGAGGTGCACACATGATTAGTTTGTACCCGAAACCCAAAACCCCCAAAGCCTAAACCTTAAAGAGCCGATGTGCTGCGTCGTGTACCAAGAACCTCGCCCAGGCTTGTCCGAGTGTGAGTGCTGAAACCCTACCGTTTCCACGTCATTCTTGTAAGATTCCTGGTCTGTGGCGGAGCCTGGCATCCTTTTAGTTTTGGAGAAGCTGATGTCCTTGAAAGGCTTTTTCAGGGTTTTGGGGGTTTTGGGTTCAGGGTTTAGGGACTCCCCTGAGTCCAGCAGCAAGAAGGGACTCCCCAACATGGTGCGTGTATGTCCTTCGGGGCAGGATACTTACCTCTCCCATCTGTATTGCACCCTACCTCTATATGGGAGTTGCCCAAAATAAGGGGTGCCTTATTTTGGGGTCCTTATAATCGGGATCCTACTATGTAGGGTACTAAATTAGGGCCCCCTATTTTCGGAAACCCCCATATAGCCCACCACTTTCAAGGCCACTCTTCCAATTTCGGAGCACGGCGCAACTCCGCAGGTGGGGCTGCGAATGGCGAGCAGACCTCAGGCAGATCCAACAAGGGCATTATAATTATAGAGCTTTCCTATTATCCAACAAGGGCATTATAATTATAGAGCTTTCCTATTATCCAACAAGGGCATTATAATTATAGAGCTTTCCTATATTATCCAACAGTGGCATAATAATTATAGAGCTTTCCTATTACAGCGTCTGCGATTCGTGCATGCAAAATTTGCTGATGTCGAAGGTTTGGGATGAGACATCGCTTGTCATAACTTCCAGGCAGCTCCGGCATTTGCTGGCAGCTCCTGTGCTGTCATATTCCCGTCCATGTCCCCAACTACAGCTCTTTTGTGTTGGATTTCCGGAGACATGGAAGCATTTGCACGGTAGCCAGCTTGAGAATGGCATCAACGACGGTCTTTTATGTCAGCGGTTGGATCTTAACCCTATACCCTGAACCCCAAACCGTAGACACTAAAAGGACTTCCTGGCGGGACCTGCCTGCATCTTTGTCAAAATGGGAACCGGGAGTTGACTCTAGTCTACCAAAGCAGAACCACGGGAGCAACTGAATAAAATAGGGCATTAAATAGTGAATTGACAAGAAAATTTTTGGGGGTTCCTGATAACTATACAGTATAAAATACCCTAAACCCCCTATTCAAATAGGTACAGTATGTTATACGGCCCCTATATTAATTACACTGCTTCCAACATGTTCCCATGCCGGAGGCTACTCCGTTTGGGTACCCGACCGTGTGCTGGAAAGCGAAAGCACCCTCGCGCGGCAGGCGCCGTGCCCAGCAAGTGTCGGGTGCGACCGCATGAGAATGTCCCAGCTATGCAGATGCACGGCTTCTCAGGTTGTATGTAACTATCGTACATGATGCATGTGTTGTTTATGCATTTGCTTATTCGTTGTTCATTTCTATGTTTGTACGTATTGCCGCGCTGGCTTGATGTATCGCACTTTCGTCTACTTACATGGGTATGTGTTGAGGGAAAGATTAAGATCGGGCGCACGGATGGACTAGGCTGGGGGAAGCAGAGGCACACTTTGAGGACGAAAGACGCAGAACAGAATTATTAATAGATTGAATCGTCGGTTTGGGATCATGTCTTCTGCTTCCCTCTGAAATTCCTCCGTAAATTCTATGGCCCTAAACCCTTCCGAGTGGCTTGCAAGGAGAAGTTTGAGGTGAATGCTCTGCACGCCACGTACCTTGAGGAGCAGTGGCCCAGCGGCAGGGAGTCCTGTCATGCTCGCACAGGGACAAAAGCATTCTGAATGAAGATCCCACATACTTGGCTCTGGGGCATTGTCGTGTTTTTACGTCAACCCCTAAACCCCTCAACGTGAACCTCGCATGCAAACCGAAGCGCTGAAACCGGAGCCCTAAACCTTGAGTTCTAAAACCTTGGAACCCCAAGCCCGAAACCCTCCCAAAAGGCAGAACTCAAAACTTTCAACCCTGGTTCAATTCCGGAGATTCATTGCCCGTTGACGGCAGTGCCGAATCGTGATCAAACAATCTCGGGTTTAGGATGTAGAGTGTAGCCCTGGCATGAACCCCAACCTCTGGACTCCAATCTGCAGATTTTGCCTTCTTCATGCCAGAAGGCCTCCGACCCGAGCTGAGAACCTGCCGAGGTACGGACAGACAGACCGCAGGCGGCGAACTTCCATGGACAGTCTTCGGAGAGAGTAGCTGAGTGGCCCTCATGGCCACCAGCCGTACTGATGTAATCTACCAATCAACAAGCAGTTCAATAGTCGCAGTGCAAAAGCAGAAGCAGGTCACCAAAACTGTCTTGTATTCAAAAAATCAGTGGCAGGGAGCAATGCACCGGGGCACGCAGCATCGCTACTACGAAAAGCCGCACTGCCCGGGTCAGTGTTAGCTGCCATGCCATCGTATAATGGTAGCAATTACCCCGCCAGAGTCTGAGGACCCTCGTTTAGATTTGGAGGTCGCAACTTCTTCTGGAAGCAGTTTTTGGGGCTTTTGGAGTTGTCAGGCGAGGGCTTGAAAGGTTCATATGAGGCTAGTTTGGGGATGAAGGAACCGCATGTTACGGAAGGGCCTTGATTCCACGTAACTTTTGCCACAGGGCCACGCTGGCGAGAAAAGGCTTCACGGTGGTCGCCCCTCGGCCAACACCTAGCCCGGGGGTAGCACTGCTCGAATATTATGTACTTGCGCCGCAAGTTGTTTCTGTGCTCGCAAGGACTATGCCACTTCCTTACAGCTGGCCCAGGCGAGTCGGGCCCTCCGGGAAGTTTCGACGTTGTGTTTGGAGCTGTCCGCACATAGAGATTTGAATCAAATAGGAAGTTGTCGTAGAGACCGTTCTGAATCATGTGGAGCATATCTATTATTGTTATGTCCCCTTGCATTTGGTGCGGTGCACATCAGATGCTCCCGCATGAACCAGTAAACCATTGGGCACAAAACCCTGGATGGGTATGCGTGGCATAGGCATAAACATAGACGTCTTTCAGGATAGGGTGTTAATAGCTTCATCATTCATGGTTTGACGTTTGGGTGGTGATGGGGGGCTCAACTCTGCAGCACTGGAAAGGGGCGTGTCTTGCCGGCTACCCCGCCTTCTGCCTGGCTCGCAGGCCATCAAGCCCAAGACAGAAGCCAAAGCTGATGTGACCACTGCACTGAAGCCGACGCCCGTGTGGCTTACTTTCGAAAGCCGCCGATGCCTGACAGAAATGAGCAACCTTGCAAGGGGCTTTTGGCCACACGAGGCCCTGGAGACTTCACGGGCTTGCTGAGCGGTGTAGGATCGTTGAAGCCTGCCTTCCTGCGTACACGACTTGGACTTTTCACAGTTCAAGCCGTCCGTGCTCTTTTCCTGCAGCCTAAGCCCTAGTATTAAACCCTAGCCTGCAGCTCGTCCTTGCTAAGTGGGAGGGAAAAACCCGAGCCTACAACTCACTGCCTGGTGCTTAGTAGGGAATGGGGAAATGGATCCCTATGATAGTCCCTAAAGGTCCCTTATAGTAGTCCCTATAACCCATTCCCCCATTCCCTACTAAGCACCAGACGGCTCAGGAAAGCTTGTCGGCAAGATCCAGATCAGCGCATCGATGACGACTTCCGAGAAGCTCCGGCTTGGGATGGAATTGGGCCATTGGGGTCAGCTTGGTGTGGGGTTTCAGGGTCTGGGGTTTAGGGACTTAGACATTTAGGGGTTTATGGATATAATAGGGTTTAGGTAAGAAACTGCGCAAAGGTTTAGGGAAAGCCGGACAGCCTTGAAATGCCTTGAATACCAAAATCCTGCAGGTGTGTTTCGGGTCCGGGCATCCTTGCAGGATTTAGAGTTTAGGGTTCGGGGTTTTAGGGTTCAGAGTTTCGGGTTGATCAGGGTTCAGGGTTTGGGTTCAGGTTTCTGCCTCTTGGGTGATTGGATGCTGATCCCTAAACCCTGAACCTGATGACTAAGTCGGCTTAGACAGCACTGTCAGCCCCTCTTCATTCTGACATGGACTTTCACATAAATATAGATGCAGTGTCGAGCTGCGCACGCGTGCGAGCAGACATCGCCCCTTCTTATGTTTGATGTGGCGTAGGCATGTTGCGGTTTTGCTGCGGGCACGGACCGAGCCGATCTTCCAGGCCTACTGCAGCATAATAGAAGATAGCAGCTGATACCCGAAAGGCCAACCCACCTCGAGACAGACTTGAATAGGACAAAGTCTTGGCCGGCTTTGTTTTCGGTGTTAAATCTACATGCTTTGCCGCTTCAATCCGGTCGTGAAACCCTAAACCCTAACCCCCGAGCGTGAGCGCCGAAACTCTTAAATCCGTGAACTTGAGGAAAGAGCGCTTAGCCGTCGACGCTGCCCTCGCGGTGGGCCTTCCATGGATTTTACTCTGAGCTTCGGGTCTTCGGGCTTCTGTGTTTCCGGATTCAAGAGTTGCAATGTGATATTCTGATATAAGCTATACTTCAATCTAGTATCACAATAATGCTGGGGTTTACTTCACTATGTAATGGAAGACTGTTAGGCGTGTTCCAGGTACGGGGTCGAGTTTATAGGTCGTAGCTGTTGCTTGCAAGCTTACAACAAGAGAGGGCCGAGGAAGGCAGAGTGGATGGCACCAGAAGGAGCAGCCTGCAGGCTGGTTTGTGCAGACCTCGTGCGCAAGATAATCGCAGAGAAGAACGGACAGATAGAGATTCGCTAAGCTGCAAGACATGGCAGCTTTGGGTTTTGGTCAAGTTTCAAATCTTTTCTCGATTCCACCTCCTTGAGCGACAGGTGGCAAATGATGCCATTCAGGCAGGGCCTGCATGGGGTGGAGGGCCTGGGCCTACCGTTGCAGGTATGAGTTGCTCCCTGGTGTCTGAGAAAACACAACCAAAGCAACCGGATGCACCGACCTAGACTTTTGATGTTTGCAGAACATGTTCTCAACCCTTTGTTTGAGTGCTTGTGTAGCAGGGGCTGAGCAGAGGTCCACGAACGAATCAGATGTTCCTTCTGGTCTTGGTTGGTTACTATGCCGTGCCGTGTCGCCACCCAGAACCCCACAGTCCTTCTGCTTTGAAGCGCTGGCTTTTGTTGCCATTTCTGCCTGTGTTGTTTCTGTGGTGCCGTGTGGTGCCTCCTGGTCGCTTCCGATGCATGTAATATAGGGGCCTAAATGGTTACCTATGCTATTTTGAGGGTTCCTTATTACAATCATAGTATAATATACTCCGAAACCCTATTCTAGTTATTAAGGCTTCTCTTCACAATTTGTTCAGGACGGCGCCAACATCCGAAAGGTGGACGTCAACGATGACAAGGTTCTGATCCGGCTCTCGACCGATGGCGGCTTGCAATTCTGAAGGAATCCGAAACTTCATCGGATCTCTACAGCCTTAGCCCTGAAACCCTAAAGTCTCTAGCTGAGCGCTATCACGGCAAGAGGCACTTCGAATGCCCAATCCTCCACCAGGTTTTGGTTTCTAGGGTCTACCAGAACTCCACCCCCTTCCCAGTGAATTTTATCGCAGCCTTCAGGTACGTATTAATGAGGAACTTTACGCCACTTCAACGGGCACTTGGAGTCCTGGGAGGCTTAGCTGGGGCTTGGAAGCTTTCCTGGATATAATATATGCAGTCGTGCGGAAACTGCACCCTGACATCTTAGAACTCAAGGTGGTGGTGGGGTGCGTGCTTTTCGCACGCTGCGAACAGACCAGCAACAAAAGTAATTACCCACACCCTAAATCGTAAACCCTCAATCCCGAAGACTTCTAGACCTGACAACTCGAAGCAACAAGCCCCCCCCTCAGCAGGGAGGCAGATTTGCAAAGGCTGCTGTTGCCGGAAGCACTTTTAAAATCGCACATGTGCCCGCCTCCAGACCATTCATTAGGGTTTGCTGGCGTATGATCCAGGTCACGAGCCGGCTGTTCATGATTCATCATACATATACTCAGAAGGCAGTTGGCACAGAAGCGTCAGATCCGATACTGTAAGGCTCTCTCGGAGCCGTTTACCTGGACCCTTTATTTGTCTCCAACTACGAGTACTTAGCATGCTTACATATACTCATTCCAGACAGCAGCAGCTCACATGGAGGGTCCAGTTCAGATGCTTTCACGTAGGTTGCTTCGACGCGCGCGGGGCTGACTGCAAGCCTCAGTGGTCATGCGCCGGTAAGGTTAGTTCCAGGTCGGCTGCTGCATTCTTTCTGCTAATCAACTGTTTTCACATCACATTCCACCTGCACACGGGTGAGACGACGTGAAGTTCTTGTTCCCCTATAAGAAGCTGTGCATCGTTACACTTTTGGGCTGCCGCACCTGGAGATTTCAGCAATAGACTTTGTCAGAACGTGCCCAAAGCAAAAGGAGGCTGCTCGCAGACTGCTTGGGGAAAGCTGAGCAATGGTAGCTGTCAAGCTTGTTTGCCCAGCAGTCTTATGAGATGATTCTGATTCACTGCGCATGACGCGAAATCAGTGCGGTGGGGGGGGAAGTGGGCTTGCTACGGCGCCGCATTCAGGCTGCACGTATCTTCAGCTATGATAGACTCAAGGTGACAGACCGACTAGGTGCAGCCCTGAGACAACTTGCCACATCGCAGCGGGGTCTTGGGTGCCCTGCCTGCAACCCGACACCCCAAGCCACACTAAGCCCATCTGAACCCCAAACCCTGAACCAAAAGAAGCAGACAAATCGTAAGGTAGACCTCACCTCTCCCTGTCTCTGTCTCTGTCTCTGTCTCTGTCTCTGTCTCCGTCTCTGTCTCTCTCTCTCTCTCTCTGTCTGTATCTCTGTCTACCCTTATGCAGCACACGTTCGCACACAGAGAGCAAAGGAATGTGGTATCCCAGTGAGGATCCATCAAATTCAGGTCTCCCACTCTCCCTCCGGATAAGACCCCCAATCGTTCCCGGGTTTCTGGTTTATGCCGACCCCGATCCACCCTGAACCCTATACCAAACCGGCCAGTCAAGCAAGGTAGACCCCGGCTGAATAATCCCAATTTAAGGAGGGGCTTCCCTTTTTCATCCTTGTTAAGGAGGAGTCTGCACCTAGAACTCCGAAGCCTCAACACCTCCATTAAGCGAGTATTGAGCCCTTGCGGGAACCCTTTCAGGGAATCTTCAAGGAGCCCTTGGGTTTAGGGTTTTGGGTTTAGGGTTTAGGGTTTAGGGTTTTGGGTTTTGGGTTTTGGGTTTCGAAACGGAACCCCTCGCTACCGGCCAAGGCGCAGACATGTCTCAAGCCTCGCGGGAGTCCTCGATCGAAGTTCCAGGTGCCTCTCAGGGTTGAGGGGGTTGAGGATATATAGAGTTCAGGGTTTGGTTGCCATGTATATGTGTGATTACAGCATTTTCGGGTGTTTGAGGGGCTTGGGTTAGGTAGTTTTGGACAGTTTCACGGGTTAGGAATGGCTAAAACGCGTGGCACTTAAGACAAGACGTCTAGCTTTTCTGCGTGGTGTGATTTCTTGTTGAGGAGCTCCCAAAGCGTAATCTGATCTAATTTGAGGTGCTTATAGTAGCCAGAGGTGTTCCTACAGGGCTTGAGTGTTGAAATGCCACTCTGCCTCCTGTATTGCTCAGGGTTTAAGGGCTCGCCCTTCGAGTAATTAAGAGCCGAGTCGCCCCTGGAAGCCGTGACAAAGCCTGCGGCGGCCATCGCAGATCCAGCCTAAGACTGAGGGTTGGGGGGTTTAGGGTTTAGGGTTGGTTGGGTTTAGGGTTTAGGAAGCTCGCAGGCCACAAGGTATTCAGGGCTTATGCCAGCTAATAGGCTTGGGCCAAGAGAGGCAACTCGAAGGAGCCGGTTGATGGCCGCCACGCTCGCCAGGAAACCAATCTCCCACAGATGCCGTGGCAGCTCTGAAAGCCGAATTCGATGCCTGGCCACATATCTGTCACAAGGGCCTATGAGGTGGCCTATATGAACTCTTAGGGTTTCAGGAAGAAGTGTGCTCAAATGAGGGGAAGGCCTTAGCATCGAGGAACGGCTTAGTGAATAGTGCTGAGCTAACTTTGCAACTGTTGAACCATGTTGAACTATGCCCCAGTCCGATACTGAAACCCATCACCCAGGAAGGGTTTGTGGACAAGTTGCGTGAGAAGTTGGACGACTTGGAGATAACCATGCAGACTCAGCAGCTGACTCAGCAGGCGCGGAAAGGGGTGACTTTCAGCTCATGTTGAATCAAGAAGCGATTCACATCCAAAGGTCCTTCGGGCTTGTGTTTGGGATTGGTGTTTGTTGTTTCACAACATGCTTCTCACATGGCCGTCTGGCGATTGCAGGCGGCAGATGACTATACCAGCTCGAGAAACACGTTCGGTGAGGCACGTGTGGAAACTGTCGGGCTCATGTAAGCGTGGTTGACGAAGCCGGGTCGAATGAAGCACCGCAAAGAAGAAGGTCATTAGGAGCTCTGTGGGTTGAGGCTCGATGTAAGGGACGCTACTGCTCACACAGCAGGGACCTTGTATTGTGTGACATTGCAGCTGTGCTGGTTTGAAGAGGCATGCAAGGCTGGGAAATCCAGCCAAAGCCAATGCTGAACCTACTCTAAACCCTTAAACCTTACGCGTAAACCCTGAGCCTCAACGACGTGAGTGAAGGCGTTTCCCAAATCTCCGACGTCTGCGCCGGCTTTAAGCGATGCTTACCATTTTTACTGCTATGCTTCTTCTTGCTTTTGTTATTAGTAGCCCTATAAACCCTAAACCCAAAACGCTAAAGCCGGCGTGCGAGTGTGTGAGTCGAAAGCCGGCATGTCGGAGAGTTGAAACCCAGCAGTCTGATTATGTCATACGACACGAGTAGCCTGCCGGCTCGTGGGACCTTGTGGTGCGGTGATGTTGGGAGCCTAAGGGAGTGCTACACGACGATTTTGACAAGCTGAGGGGGCTCCAATACTGTAGTCCAGGATCCTCTCTGCAATCTGTCTTGCAGGAGCAGTGTCCTGTTCATGGTTTTGGGCTTGGGGTTAAGAAGCGGCTCAGGCGTTGAAGCACTGAAGCCTTGCAGCTGAAAACTCCAAACAAAAGAGCAAGCTCTAAGCCTACTCCGTGGATGCAGGCAGACACCATCTCCGGATCCCGGAGCATCTCCCGACTTTTTCCCATCTATGACGACCCCATCATGTCGAAAGAGGCCGGCTCGATCGGGCTTGGGGGTTCTGAGCTTTGATGCTTAAGTCTTGGCCTTTGGAGCTTCAGGCTCGGACACGGATTCGCTGTTTGGGTGTGCGATTTCCGCATCGTGAGCGGGGTTCGGAATGTCATGAAGCGAACAACAGCAGCAACTATAACAGCCGCAACGACATCACCAACAGCAAAAGACGACACTTGGGAGGACGGGTACATGCAGCAGTTGCCGCTGCCCAGGTGATGCAGGATTTGAGCCTGGGTCCGATAAGCGGCAGAAGCAGGAGAAGCATCATGACGTTCATTACCACCATCGCCATATGTCATCATCACTTTGAGATTGCCGTCCTCATAAGAAATCCGTCACCGTCATCATCATGACCATGTCCACCAACAATATCGTCAGCCACATTGCGAGTTTAAGGATACCCACAGTACGCCCAGACGGGGGCATCGTGTTACGGAGCCTTTCATCTGGAATGGGTTTGGGGTGCAAGGGAACGTTGTGTTTCATGGCAGGGAAACTCACTTTCAAAGGAACGCCCCGGCAGTCTTAGGCTTGTCAGCTGCCTTTAATCGCGACTCAACATGAACATGGCGACATCCGAGGCGAAATCCTAGGCCCCCGTAGCCCATGAGCAGTTTTGAACCCTATAACGCATAAGAGTCGGCCCTAATACCCTAAACCCTGAGTCGAAACCCTA